AATATATTCAGATATAAAACAATTATTTTGAAGTGTAATAACATTTCACAGTATTACTGTTTTTACTGTCTCTTTGATCAAATAAATGCAGCCTTGGTAAGTATCAGAGGCATTCAATTAAAAATAAAAAACGTACCAAATTCGGTATTTAGCTTCAGCAGGATACTATCTGACATTATTTACTATAATTGGATTATTTGAAATGGTTTTTCATAAACATAAGCATTGTTAATATTGTGCAGTGTTATATTATTTATATATATATATATATATATTTGACATATTTTCAGTTTGTTTAAAAGTCATTTAATTATGGTCATTATGCACATTTTTATTATCTTTTATGGCCGAAACCAAAAAAAACACTGTGTACAGACATTGCTGAGATAAACACCGTTTAATAGGCTTTATAAGACACTGAAGCAGCTCTCTTCTCACAGCGGGTGATTGTGTTCAGTATTTGAGTAGCTGTGGAGGTCCGTGTTGGACTGCAGGAGGGGGAAATTGTGCTGTTGGTGCTCCAGATGTTCTGGTGCTTCTAGCTCACCTTGCCATTTGGCTTCTGTAACCGTGGTAACCACCCTACCTCTAGTGTCACCCGACTAGAGACCTGGCACGTCTTCATTTTGGCTGCTGTCATAAAACCTCACAATTCATCTAAACAGACAATCTGTCAAAATCTGCTTCTTGCAGACAAGGTTTAGAAAGTGTTTAGTGTTCAAATACTAAGTCAGTCTGACAATGACACTTCCTCTATATTCTCAGTGGTCACCAGCCAAATGAGTGTTTCGAGTTTATTTTTACAAGAGCACATTGTAGCTGTTGAATAGTTCATTTAGCCAAGGCCATTAAAACACTAAAGAGCAGACGTTTCTCCTTGTAAGGACTTTTTAAGGTGTGCTTGATTGAAAACAGCGCTAATTGTGTTCAATAAGTAATTTGCTAACAAAGTGTGCTAATTAATTAGATGTTGTGTGTGAGTGACAGAATTAAAGTGAAATTAAAATTAAAGTGAATGAATAAGCAATAAAATCTAAAGGGCTCATTAATTGTGGAAAATTAGCCGGAGCACTTCTGACGATTCTCGGTGAATCATGTGACCTCGCGTAAGTCTTAAACTTCAGTCATGATGCTGATTGCAGTGTTTTTTATTTGTGTTGACCAACATTGGCATGCCAGGTTCTTAATTAAAATCGGACCACTGAATTATTGAAAATGAACTAACTAAATTAATTTTCAATAATTCACCAGTTTGGGGTCTACCATTCCATTTATCTCAACACAAATTTCAGGTTTTCATCCCTAAAGCACTCACTTGTGTGTAGAAATACTTTCTTATGCTGCAAATTAGCCCCAAAGTGAAATTATATAAATAATTACAATTAATTTTAATTAATTACAAATATTTATATCAGCTGCCAGTAGTTACATAGCTGAATTAATATTACCATCCACTAATCAGTTCGTCCAGTGATAATAATTCAGCAGTTTGGAGACTACCTTGCTACAAACATACACACACTCATGCATACATACACAGGGGAGTTAAAGTGGATGAATGAAACCGTTAGAGAAACCAAAGAATGCAGCTTTGGAAAATTAGTCAGTTAAAGATCTGAGCAGAAACCATCAGTGCTGTTTTACAACAGGGTCTACAGCTTATACTAAACCTCTGTTTCTTTTAGTTATATATACGATACTTGCACTGCCTTGGCTATTGATCGAGCGTCCGGATGCAGTCTTGGATGAAAGTCTCGATGGTTTGAAGGTAGGGCTGTGCGATATTGAAGCAAAATGCGATATGCGATAACTCATTAAATAATGCAATATGCGATCCGATAATGCTTAAAGTGCCACATGCTTAAATGAAACAGTTTTACTCAGCTGTTGCGGAGTCAGTTCTGTGAACTTTTATAACTATCTTGTGTCATATACTGTATATATGGTTATTTGTATGTATGTACCAAGAGTTCCTGTTTAACCACAACAAGTTCCTTGTGTTTGCGCACACTTAAGTGGTGAATAAAGCTCATTCTGATTCTGATTCTAATAAGAAAGCACCCCTACAACAACTTCTTAAAGTGAACGGTATGTGTTTTACTCGAGCATTATATAAAAATGTCATTTTAACATTAGTGTAATCATTTTAACATGAGTTTAGGAACTGAATAATAAAAAGGAAAAATAAAACACTGCTTAGTATTTCCTCTTTGAATTCAATATGCACTGATTCTTATTTAAGCTACAAAAGTTATTTAGGTAAGAGCAGTGAGTGATTTTCTCTGTCTTTTGTTCATGGCCCCAAATATTGCAAGCTGTAGCAATATGCATATTGCGAAATGTACATTTGCGATATTTTGATCATTTCGATATATTGCACAGCCCTATTTGAAAGTTTGGTGGTGTTGGAGTTGTGATGTTCTTGAACATGTTCTGTGAACATGTTCTTCCGGGTTGAAGAGTGTCAAACTCCAAAGATGTTATTTTGACTCGGGGGTGGTTGGGAGAGTTTTCTCCCAGGTGGAAAGTGAAGACATGACGTATGTATACATGCATACAGTAGGATGTATGTAGACATCCTACTGTAGACATGACTGTACTATGCCGGCCCCGGGACTTAGTGAGTCCCACATAAGCAGCAACCAGGAGACAAAGCAGAAGATGATGAGAGAAGAGAGAGAGGTCACTGATGTAGTGACTTGTTAACTTCTGACAAGTTCACACCTCTAAGGCATCAGTGAGCCAATAGTAACTTAAACTTTCGGAGGGAAATTGTACAACCCTTTGTTTGAAAGCTGGCTCATTTGCATTATCAGAGTGGCAGGCAGTTTTGTGTCCCTTTATACTCTGATTAATATAACAAGCATACAATGCATGTTATGAGGAGGTGATATGCACCAATGGATGGTGGACTAAACAAGGGTTATTTTAATAGGCCACTGTTCAAGCATCTTACTGATATTCAAAGATGTCATTTGTAGCTCAAAAGAATCACACAAGCCTCTGTTATTAATTTAAAGCAAACTTTTAGAGCTAGCTGTGTGGTTTGGGCTGTTTTGAATTACCTGTGGCTCTCTCAGCAATGATAATGCTACAGATAATGCTAGTTCAACTGTATTTCTCAGTAGTGGGGAGGCTCTGTCGCACTTACATAATGTAGCTTTTATAATTAAATTAACAGTATGTATTTGAGTAAATTATTGATTAAATTATTATTATAATTATTTATAATTGTTAGCTTTATTTTATTTTATTTTTTATTGTTTATTCTAATTTGAGAGAAGTAGTGACTGGAGTGATGCAAAGCTAATAAGTAATAAAATATAATAATAATTTAACCCAAATATATATTTAATGTTAATTTAGTTATTAATTATTTGCCTTATTTTACTCATTTTATTTATCTATTCTAGCATGTGATTATATTAGTGATGCAAAGATAATAAGTAATAAAATAAAAAGACTATGTATTTGTGTTTTATTATTATTATTATATTTTTACTCAAGTGTGTATTTATTAATTATTAGCACTGTTATTATTTATTAATTTTATGAATTTTTTCTAATATGTCAGAAGAAAGTGACTGGAGTGATGCGACGCTAATAATTAATAAAATTAATTTATATTACATAAATGTGTTTTTGTTGTTGTTGTTGTCATTTAAACCTTGGTACATAATGTAAATTTATTTATGAATTATTAGCTTTATTTTATTTAATATTATTAATTATTTATTCATTTTAATTATTTATTGTTTTATTACGTGAGAATAAAGTGATTGTGGAGTCACACAAAGCTAATAATTAATAAATAAAAAAGGTAATATTATTGTATTATATTTATAAAATAATAGCATCCTTTGTAGCGTCATTATATCATGTATGGAGAGTAGTGTAATGCTCTGTTATCTCTGTCTGTTTTTCTTACACATCCTCACTCAGCACACAGTGGTGCAGCACTCCTTACATGCTTATCTGTAGGTGTCTAGCTGTTCTCCACCAGCCAAATATTCACACCAAAATGCTTTATGGACAGTATCAGCCACTTTGCACTTCTGCCCTGTCAGCATCAGATTACCCTGCGCAGCATCAGCCGAGGGGGATTTATTAAATAATTTCATCATTTTGGAATTATTCCATCAAAATGATGATCTGATAAATCAAGCCGCCGCCTCCGTCCTCTAATTGCCGCTCTCCCTCTCCCCCTCTCTGATATCAGTCCACCATGACATACCTTGAAAAGTAATGAAACCATTTTTCTTTTTCTCCTCTCGGCCCGCATGATGCATCATCTGTGTTCCTGCCAAACTGCGAGCAGACCCACCCTCAGTCACATCCATCACTCACCATCACAAGTGAATCATCTCTCTGAGCTCGGTCTCAATTACAGGGCTCCCCGTATTCCTCAGGACACCTTCTCCTACTGGCTGGGAAGAGTTTGATGCATTCACAAAAACTGCTGTGAGCCAAGAGGGAATGGGAGAAGGAGGCCAAGGGAAGTGAAATGCTAACTGATGCTGGTGCAGGCAGAAGAGGGAGAAGATGTTCGTGGTCTCCTCCTTTAGGGAGGAACTCAAACCCTGAGGTCTCCTCTCATCCCATTAATGTTCCCTGTGTGCTGTTAATGGGGCTCATTTGACTGTTTAATAACCCAGAATTACTCCTAGATTTGGAAAGTTGTTGTGATTCAATACGGGAGTCAAATTCTTTGAATTGAAAATCATGGCATCTTGGCAACTTAAATAAATAAAAAATAATGTATAATAAATGTATGTATGTTTTTTTTTTTTTTACACCTGGAATATATACTCTGTCCTTTCCGAAAGCAAACATAGAGAAACTTTTCTCACTGTCACTAAAACTATGATAACTTTTCTGAACACATTTAACTTTTGTACACAGTCCTTAAGGGGGGTCGTTTCCTCCCACTCTACCCTATAATGTATCATGTAACTGCTAAATTTGTAAAAAAAAAAAAAACATTTTTTATGGTTCTCTTTACAGATAAGTACTGAGGATAATGAAAACTACATGACCATCATTGATGCAGTCAACAGTGTCAGCCGTTATGGTATGTGCAGTCTTCATATATACAGTATATTTACAAGTGTCATATTCTACACTTTTTTTCCACAGACCCCATGAGCTGTGTAAATAACGACACAATTTTCATTTTCATTTGAACTATTCCTGTTTTCTCTTGTCAGGAAAGAGTGGCCCCGTCTCTCCGTTCACCCTGCAGGGTCTCCTGCCCAACTCCACAGAGAAGTACTTCATCTATAACGGCTCTCTGACAACCCCACCCTGCTCTGAGACCGTGGAGTGGATCGTCTTCAAAAACACGGTGACCATCTCAGATGTTCAGGTCAGTATAATGGACAGTTTTAGAGCAGTGACCTGCTAGCATATATTTCTGGAATTGCATGAGTTATATACAGATTTAAAGGAACCGTTCACCCCAAAATGAACAATCTGTCATCATCTAAGGCTTTCAAGCTTCAAAAAGGGCACAAAAGCATCATTACAGTGGTCCATACACCATATTCCAGGTCTTCTGAAGGCATCTTGACATATGTCCAAACTTTCTTTGAATTGACTACTTTTATGATACTTGTATTTAGATTTTTCAGTTGTATTACAACTGCTTGGAAAAGAGTGGCCAGCACATTCTTTAAAATTTCCATTGGGTGTTCCGCTGAAGAAAGAAAGTCATACAGATTTTGGAACAACATTTTTGGGTGAACTCCTAATTAAGGCTTTGACACAGCAGACGACAAACAGTGGAGACAGACTATGTTATTGAGCTCCATGTGCTGACAGATTGAAAGATGAGGTCAAAATGAGACAAAACATTTCTGATAACAATTGTTTATATCCACAAACACATTTCACCCATAAATAATGAAAATTACCTTGTTTTGTCTGGGACAAATTCAATGAATAATTCAAAACCTAAAAGAATTTCACTGCCAAAAAGGGAATTTTCCTACCTAAAAACCCTGAGGCCATCTTCACTTGGACTGATATTGTGACTGTGGTGTCTATTTGTCATTTGGCGTCTGTTGCGCAACACTAACTCTATGTGACACACACACTCTCAGGAACTAAAAACAATTAGCTAGAAATGGCACACAAGCCCAAACATGATGGTACAAATATCAATTAGAATTCAGAGTGTTATCTTGACGATATGGTCCGTTTAGTTTCCTGCGTATGTTTTTACATTGGATCTGACATTTGATTTCTTAGAAATCTGTTAAGGTATGTCCAATAATTATAACATTTGCTGTACTTTTGGCACTAAATACTAAAGTTCACACAAAAAGGAAGCCAACTCCCTCGAAAAGAGGGATAATAATCAACATTTTTGATTATTGTAATGTTGGATGGCACATTCAAAAGCAAGCTGTCATTAAATGGAATTAGAGGGAGCGAGCGTAGAGTTACATGTCACAAAAGACTTTAAATGCTTAAATACGGCCTTTGTGTTGTGTGTCATTCAGTCTGGGGCTATTGCCCTCGAGTGACTTGCAAGTCGATACAAGCTACAGTTGAAACACATGGTGAAAGCAGGAGTTTTACCGCAAGGTAACACACCCACACCTGTCGACGTCACAATGAGAATGACATTGACTCACACACATTAAAGAGCAGCTTTGATGTCTGAACACAATAGTGGACGTCTCGCCTCTGGGCTACACTGTGTTTGTGCTGTGTGCAGTTTTTGTGATGTATAGAGATTCAATAGTTATGTTTTAGGAAGGTACGTTTATGCCTCATAATGAGGTTGTAAACAGGATCATAGCAGTTTATCATCATCTGTAAGCTACATCATCTTTGCCAACTTATAAAATGTATATAATTAAATATTTATATTTACATTACTGTCCGTCTGTGTATAAGTAGTAGGTATTCTCAAGTGTATCTTTATGCAGGTTACATCGATATGCCAGTAGCTGGCGCAAAGTAACTGTCTTTATGAGTCACTGAATCATTTACTTAACCAATTCATTCAGAAACATTGATTCGTTCAGGAACGAACAAGTCTTTCATAATGAGTGAGTAAGTGAATCATTTTCTCAAGCGATTTGTTCAAAAACACAGATTCACTCACACATGGACAAGTCTGTCTTCATGAGTGAGTCATTGAATCATTCCCTAAACCGATTTGTTCAAAAACATCTAGGGCCCAATTTGCATACCATCCACCCTAAATGGTATTTGAGATTAGTAATCTTGAGTGCTATTTAGAGTGAATAATATATAAACTGAATCATCAACTCAACCAATTCGTTCAGTAGCACTGATCCATTCAGGAATGAACAAGTTTGTTTTCATGAGTGAGTAAGTGAATCATTCACTCAACCAATTCACAGATTCTTTCACAGATTCATTCAGGAACAGACAAGTCTGTACTTATGAAAGAGTCATTGAATTCTCTCAATCGATACGTTCAAAAACACATGCATCCCAATTTGCATACTATCCAACCTAAATGGTATTCAAGTTTGTAATTTTGAATATTATTTAGGGTGGATAGTATGCAAATTGGAGTCTTTATGAGTGAGTCACTAAAATATTCACTCAACCAATTAGTTCAATAACATTGATTCATTCAGCAATGGACAAATCTTTCTTCACGTGCGAGTCATTAAATCATTCACTCAACCAATTAGTTCAAAAACACTGGTTTATTTAGAAATGAAAATGTGTGTTGCTTAACTTTTTAAGAACAGCGTGCGCAAGACATTTGTGCAATAGTTAAGCACATCTGTCTAATGCAAGTTTACATAGAAATAAATGGAACTTCTTGTTTGTTAAACTGTTGTATAGAAGCAATATCAGTTGCAAGATACTCTTGCTCTGAATATCAACATGGTGGACAGACCAATGGAGGTAGTATGAGGGGAATTTATTTTATATGACAAAACTAGCTGCTTTTAGACCCCTTCAGATGACAGAAACAATTTTGTTTCCAGATTTGTTGTCTAATCTGTGTAACCATATGTGTCCACAGCTGGAGATGTTCTGTGAGGTGATGACCATGCAGCAGGCTGGATATGTCATGCTTATGGACTACCTGCAGAATAACTACAGAGAGCAGCAGGAGCAATTTATGGGACAAGTCTTCTCATCCTACACTGGCGTCGAGGAGGTCCACACTCCTAGTGCGTACTTCACAAACACACTTACACGCATAAACAAACTAGGGAAGTATGTGTCTGGAATCATTCACTCTTAAGGTCTTAAAGCATTCAGGCAGTTTTAGGGTCATGGATCCAATTAGCCTCCAACATGATTCTAATCTCAAACAACTGCTTCTCAATTAAATAAGGTTTCTATTTTTATACGATGAAGCCCTCCAGACATTTTCCTACTTTCTATTTATAAATATAGACAGACATTTGGCCCATTTTAGCCGTACGCAATGCTTTCATGACCCTTTATGGATGATTCCCACTCATTTCACAGCTGTTATATATGAAGCATTACAAATAAACTGACGTAAGATTTTAAAAATCCAACAAAAGGCTGTACTTATTTAATTATTGAATTTTTAATGATAAATATATAAAACTGTCACCCACAAGGTTTTGGAGGCAAATGGTGCCTTAATTTCTATATTATTATAATAATTGAATCATTACTATTTAAGCTGCAAGTTAAAAATGAACAGTCTAAATTAAACCAAATGTATATTTTACATTTTTGGCTATATATATATATATATACATTTTATATGTATATAATGGACAGTAATGTAAATATAAATAAATATATATATATATATATATATATATATATTTGACATATTTTCAGTTTGTTTAAAAGTCATTTAATTATGGTCATTATGCACATTTTTATTATCTTTTATGGCCGAAACCAAAAAAAACACTGTGTACAGACATTGCTGAGATAAACACCGTTTAATAGGCTTTATAAGACACTGAAGCAGCTCTCTTCTCACAGCGGGTGATTGTGTTCAGTATTTGAGTAGCTGTGGAGGTCCGTGTTGGACTGCAGGAGGGGGAAATTGTGCTGTTGGTGCTCCAGATGTTCTGGTGCTTCTAGCTCACCTTGCCATTTGGCTTCTGTAACCGTGGTAACCACCCTACCTCTAGTGTCACCCGACTAGAGACCTGGCACGTCTTCATTTTGGCTGCTGTCATAAAACCTCACAATTCATCTAAACAGACAATCTGTCAAAATCTGCTTCTTGCAGACAAGGTTTAGAAAGTGTTTAGTGTTCAAATACTAAGTCAGTCTGACAATGACACTTCCTCTATATTCTCAGTGGTCACCAGCCAAATGAGTGTTTCGAGTTTATTTTTACAAGAGCACATTGTAGCTGTTGAATAGTTCATTTAGCCAAGGCCATTAAAACACTAAAGAGCAGACGTTTCTCCTTGTAAGGACTTTTTAAGGTGTGCTTGATTGAAAACAGCGCTAATTGTGTTCAATAAGTAATTTGCTAACAAAGTGTGCTAATTAATTAGATGTTGTGTGTGAGTGACAGAATTAAAGTGAAATTAAAATTAAAGTGAATGAATAAGCAATAAAATCTAAAGGGCTCATTAATTGTGGAAAATTAGCCGGAGCACTTCTGACGATTCTCGGTGAATCATGTGACCTCGCGTAAGTCTTAAACTTCAGTCATGATGCTGATTGCAGTGTTTTTTATTTGTGTTGACCAACATTGGCATGCCAGGTTCTTAATTAAAATCGGACCACTGAATTATTGAAAATGAACTAACTAAATTAATTTTCAATAATTCACCAGTTTGGGGTCTACCATTCCATTTATCTCAACACAAATTTCAGGTTTTCATCCCTAAAGCACTCACTTGTGTGTAGAAATACTTTCTTATGCTGCAAATTAGCCCCAAAGTGAAATTATATAAATAATTACAATTAATTTTAATTAATTACAAATATTTATATCAGCTGCCAGTAGTTACATAGCTGAATTAATATTACCATCCACTAATCAGTTCGTCCAGTGATAATAATTCAGCAGTTTGGAGACTACCTTGCTACAAACATACACACACTCATGCATACATACACAGGGGAGTTAAAGTGGATGAATGAAACCGTTAGAGAAACCAAAGAATGCAGCTTTGGAAAATTAGTCAGTTAAAGATCTGAGCAGAAACCATCAGTGCTGTTTTACAACAGGGTCTACAGCTTATACTAAACCTCTGTTTCTTTTAGTTATATATACGATACTTGCACTGCCTTGGCTATTGATCGAGCGTCCGGATGCAGTCTTGGATGAAAGTCTCGATGGTTTGAAGGTAGGGCTGTGCGATATTGAAGCAAAATGCGATATGCGATAACTCATTAAATAATGCAATATGCGATCCGATAATGCTTAAAGTGCCACATGCTTAAATGAAACAGTTTTACTCAGCTGTTGCGGAGTCAGTTCTGTGAACTTTTATAACTATCTTGTGTCATATACTGTATATATGGTTATTTGTATGTATGTACCAAGAGTTCCTGTTAAACCACAACAAGTTCCTTGTGTTTGTGCACACTTAAGTGGTGAATAAAGCTCATTCTGATTCTGATTCTAATAAGAAAGCACCCCTACAACAACTTCTTAAAGTGAACGGTATGTGTTTTACTCGAGCATTATATAAAAATGTCATTTTAACATTAGTGTAATCATTTTAACATGAGTTTAGGAACTGAATAATAAAAAGGAAAAATAAAACACTGCTTAGTATTTCCTCTTTGAATTCAATATGCACTGATTCTTATTTAAGCTACAAAAGTTATTTAGGTAAGAGCAGTGAGTGATTTTCTCTGTCTTTTGTTCATGGCCCCAAATATTGCAAGCTGTAGCAATATGCATATTGCGAAATGTACATTTGCGATATTTTGATCATTTCGATATATTGCACAGCCCTATTTGAAAGTTTGGTGGTGTTGGAGTTGTGATGTTCTTGAACATGTTCTGTGAACATGTTCTTCCGGGTTGAAGAGTGTCAAATTCCAAAGATGTTATTTTGACTCGGGGGTGGTTGGGAGAGTTTTCTCCCAGGTGGAAAGTGAAGACATGACGTATGTATACATGCATACAGTAGGATGTATGTAGACATCCTACTGTAGACATGACTGTACTATGCCGGCCCCGGGACTTAGTGAGTCCCACATAAGCAGCAACCAGGAGACAAAGCAGAAGATGATGAGAGAAGAGAGAGAGGTCACTGATGTAGTGACTTGTTAACTTCTGACAAGTTCACACCTCTAAGGCATCAGTGAGCCAATAGTAACTTAAACTTTCGGAGGGAAATTGTACAACCCTTTGTTTGAAAGCTGGCTCATTTGCATTATCAGAGTGGCAGGCAGTTTTGTGTCCCTTTATACTCTGATTAATATAACAAGCATACAATGCATGTTATGAGGAGGTGATATGCACCAATGGATGGTGGACTAAACAAGGGTTATTTTAATAGGCCACTGTTCAAGCATCTTACTGATATTCAAAGATGTCATTTGTAGCTCAAAAGAATCACACAAGCCTCTGTTATTAATTTAAAGCAAACTTTTAGAGCTAGCTGTGTGGTTTGGGCTGTTTTGAATTACCTGTGGCTCTCTCAGCAATGATAATGCTACAGATAATGCTAGTTCAACTGTATTTCTCAGTAGTGGGGAGGCTCTGTCGCACTTACATAATGTAGCTTTTATAATTAAATTAACAGTATGTATTTGAGTAAATTATTGATTAAATTATTATTATAATTATTTATAATTGTTAGCTTTATTTTATTTTATTTTTTATTGTTTATTCTAATTTGAGAGAAGTAGTGACTGGAGTGATGCAAAGCTAATAAGTAATAAAATATAATAATAATTTAACCCAAATATATATTTAATGTTAATTTAGTTATTAATTATTTGCCTTATTTTACTCATTTTATTTATCTATTCTAGCATGTGATTATATTAGTGATGCAAAGATAATAAGTAATAAAATAAAAAGACTATGTATTTGTGTTTTATTATTATTATTATATTTTTACTCAAGTGTGTATTTATTAATTATTAGCACTGTTATTATTTATTAATTTTATGAATTTTTTCTAATATGTCAGAAGAAAGTGACTGGAGTGATGCGACGCTAATAATTAATAAAATTAATTTATATTACATAAATGTGTTTTTGTTGTTGTTGTTGTCATTTAAACCTTGGTACATAATGTAAATTTATTTATGAATTATTAGCTTTATTTTATTTAATATTATTAATTATTTATTCATTTTAATTATTTATTGTTTTATTACGTGAGAATAAAGTGATTGTGGAGTCACACAAAGCTAATAATTAATAAATAAAAAAGGTAATATTATTGTATTATATTTATAAAATAATAGCATCCTTTGTAGCGTCATTATATCATGTATGGAGAGTAGTGTAATGCTCTGTTATCTCTGTCTGTTTTTCTTACACATCCTCACTCAGCACACAGTGGTGCAGCACTCCTTACATGCTTATCTGTAGGTGTCTAGCTGTTCTCCACCAGCCAAATATTCACACCAAAATGCTTTATGGACAGTATCAGCCACTTTGCACTTCTGCCCTGTCAGCATCAGATTACCCTGCGCAGCATCAGCCGAGGGGGATTTATTAAATAATTTCATCATTTTGGAATTATTCCATCAAAATGATGATCTGATAAATCAAGCCGCCGCCTCCGTCCTCTAATTGCCGCTCTCCCTCTCCCCCTCTCTGATATCAGTCCACCATGACATACCTTGAAAAGTAATGAAACCATTTTTCTTTTTCTCCTCTCGGCCCGCATGATGCATCATCTGTGTTCCTGCCAAACTGCGAGCAGACCCACCCTCAGTCACATCCATCACTCACCATCACAAGTGAATCATCTCTCTGAGCTCGGTCTCAATTACAGGGCTCCCCGTATTCCTCAGGACACCTTCTCCTACTGGCTGGGAAGAGTTTGATGCATTCACAAAAACTGCTGTGAGCCAAGAGGGAATGGGAGAAGGAGGCCAAGGGAAGTGAAATGCTAACTGATGCTGGTGCAGGCAGAAGAGGGAGAAGATGTTCGTGGTCTCCTCCTTTAGGGAGGAACTCAAACCCTGAGGTCTCCTCTCATCCCATTAATGTTCCCTGTGTGCTGTTAATGGGGCTCATTTGACTGTTTAATAACCCAGAATTACTCCTAGATTTGGAAAGTTGTTGGGATTCAATACGGGAGTCAAATTCTTTGAATTGAAAATCATGGCAT